AATGACTAAGTCCCTCCACTGCATCATTACGTAACCCATAACTAATGTCCTCACCACTGTAGAAACACTCCCCTTTTACAAAGATTCGTCTTTGTGGCCAATCTATTTAGGAATAACCTCCACCCAAATATACTAATCTTAGAACATACTCCAAATTATCCTACACCATTTCCAATAAAAATTGTAATCTTTGGGCGTTAAAAAATCATAAGCTGCCTTTCCAAAATATAAACCATCACAACAATTAAGCCACCTCCAAAAATCAACCCTATCCTCCCTCAACTTCACCACATTAATCATTTCTCTAAATTTTCCTCACAAACCACCCTCCCCAAGTCCCCATACAATCTCCCTCAACTTCTGTAGTTATATCGAACTCTAAATCTATGACTGAGAACATAGACTACTCTATTATCAAACCACATATATAGTTGATGGTTAATTATAATTTGTAAACTTACCAAAAGAAGAAGGGTTGAGGGCTGTTACTTTGAGACCAGACACTGTGATATAACTGCAGATTGTGGCCGTAGCGATGATGTGGGTGATCAATCTGCATAGTTGAAACAAAAATATATATATATAGTAAAATAAAAGTAAACTATATTTTTTATCACAAAAAGTGAACTAAATTCAAGTAGTTAAGAAATTAAGGATGTGAATCAAGTTGAAAATGTAAGTTTGAAGAAGAAATTCACATGCATTTTTGCATGAATTAATTTACCCTAAAATGTGTGAACTTACCATTTCAACCCAGTGTCTGTCACATAAATGCTGACTGTTCTTGTCCTCTGAGAGACCCTTCCCAACCTACATTATTATCATTAAAAAAATTTTTTTTTTTTGAACAGCCAAAAAGAATGTACTATTAATGTAGTGTTGAAATGAATTCCACAAACCAAGTCCATATCATCATGTTTTGTTTAATAAAAACTTTTAATTATTTCTATTATCGGAGTAATTCATTAGCTATTTTACACCTCTTAAAATTTGATAAAACTTTTCAAATATCAAAATTCTTTAACAAATGAACTTCCAATCTAAAATTAAATGAATTCTATTTCCAAGCAAAAGACACTCATCAAATTTTGAGAACATGATAATAATTATTTTTTATGAATTTATTTAGAAAAAAAAAAAAAGAATTTTAGTTCAATTGCATAGACATACAGTAAGGAAGTACAAGGGTACTCCAACGTTTTAAAACAATTCATATCTCATTACTTACAGCTTTAACACTGTCCCATATTTACTCATTATACTCAAAAGCCTCCATGACATGACTAAGAATTAATCAACCCCTTTCAAGCCTTTACAGACTTCATACATACAAATTCTTAGCTCAAGCAACCAATCTGTCAAGTTAAAGCTACAATACCTGTTCTTAAAAAATATCTCAACTGAACAAACTAATTAAAACAGTTTGTCAACCTCCACATCTACTTTTCTGATCAAGAGACCTTGTTAATGGATCAAACAGACCAAACAGTAAGCATATATAATATAGCATGATTAAGGTGCTTAGTTGGTTGATTTTGAAAGTTTGACATTGTTATGATATTATAGGTGTTTTTTTTAGATGAGCCCAAAATTTTTGGCTATGAGTTTCATCACAAGGCTTGTATCCAACCCAAAACAAACTGATAATAGATGGAGTAGCCTTCCTTGTATTTAACTCACATGACTTCTTAATATTTTTCCAATGTGGGATTTCCCCACTTAACATGCCCTACTTGAGTATTAATAGCTATGTCATCACTTGTATTGATGCTTTAAACTCTATTCCTGTAATTGGTTGGAGTACTTTTTGTACTTGCATTCATTCAAATTTTGGTTTCTCACAGAGAGATCAAAGATGGTTTGTTAGGTTTGTGCACCTGATTAAACATTACCCATCTCACGTCTTAACGCACTATTTCAAGCTTTAAGCCCTTAAATAACTAACTTATTACAGACCAACTTCACAAAGAAGTTAATATCTTTCCTAACAGAGAATTTGACCTAAACTTCTTTGTGTTTAGTTTTGAACATAAATTTGATACAAATTTCTTAATATATTAATTAGTGTAGTCATCACACCAAAAAGAAAAGGACAAAGAAACATTAATAATCAGGGACGAAGCCAGGAATTTTTCTTAGGGGGCGAGAATTTTGCAACAATTTAAGACTTTATGAATTGTTTTGTGACATGCAAAAAATTTTAAATACACTTATGTAATATTTTTTAGATTTAGGGACTCATACTTGAATCTCAAAAGGTTGTTAGAAATGTAGGGATCTTTTTCTCAGAATTTGAACCATGGAGGAACCGTTTTGCATTATTCTAAAATATTAGGAATCAATCTGTCTAAATCAGGAATCATCAAGGTCCATCTCATAGTTTTTCCTTGGTTAAACGTCTATTTGTGTCCCTAAATTATTGTATGGATCCTTGAAAGCCCTAATTTGGTGCTTGAAGGATAGTGGATGGTAGATAATGGGTAACAGGTGCGGTTAGTAAAGTGTAGGTGGCAGATAGCAGAAAACAGGTAACGGATACTAGATAGCGGATTTCGATTCATATAATTGTTTGGTTATACAATGATTAGCAGTTGTTTAATGTTAAATGACTAACAAGAACATGTTTGAAAGCAATTAAGTGTATTTTTTCCTTTTTTATATTTTTATTATTAAAATTGTTAATTTTATAAAAATAATAATAAGTAAATAAATAAAATAAAATAAATTATAATAGTGTAATATTTTTGACAAAGAAAAAATTATATTATTATTAAATAAAGAAAAAACAAACTTTTAATCATTTCCTCTAATGAGCAAATATTATTTATTACGCTAATATAATTTGTTTATGATAAATTAATGTAAAAAATAAAAATATAATAATCACCTAATGTTATTAAAGAGAAAAAATGAAATTGAAACTAATTGAATAAGTTCTAATTAAAAACCATGACAAAATTTAAAAATGAAAATAGATAAATTTGTCAATAAAATTTAAAAATTCTAATCCTTTGCTAGTTTAGTACAAAAAAACTACCTAATGTAGCTTTTTCAATATACTAGCAATTTGGACCCTACCCACTATACCTGAACTACCAAATAAAAAATTTTACCAAACATCTAGTTTGTAAAAGTTTCAAAATAAACAAGTTTACCAAACACATATCCTTAGCAATTTAGGCAAAACCACTAACCGCTACCCACAAATTGCTATACCAAACAAGCACAAAGTTTGGAAATTTGGCTCTTTTTTGGTTCTTCATTAAATTTTTGATGATGTGTACAATATCCATTAACTATTGCTTCTGTGGATATTCTAGGACCCTTTTAATTTAAAATAGTCAAGTTAACATTTAAAAACAAAATATAAATATTTTTTTGCCAATAAAATAAAACATAATGAAATGACACTTTGCCCTTATCTTCAACCTCTAGACCTTTCTCCTCTTCTCGATTCCAGCTCAACATTTAAGATAAACTAGCATTTCCCAAGCTGCTTTGTGGGTTGTTGGGATGTATTTCAACTTTAAAAGAAAAATATATAGCTAAAAATTTGGGATATATTTGGCTGTTGGACTACCCCCGGCGTCCTCTTGATTTCATGATGAATGCAAGCTTGATAGTAGTCCAGATGATGAAAACAGGTGAAGTGTTGGCGAAGGTGTTTGGGAGCCATCAGAAATGAAGTTAACGGCCAGAGTTGAAATGGAGAAGGTGAATGGAGGTTTTGTAGAATGAGAGAATTGGTGGAGGGAGAGGATAGGCTGAATTTTTTTTTTTTTTTATGTTTAACGGTCAAGGTGCCCTCGGATTAGCTTGTGCAGACCTTGAGACATTCCTTCCTGACCTTATCAAAGGCAAGCCATCCAGAGGATAGGCTGATAAGATAAAAGAAGAGAGATCCAGAAATGAAAGGAAGGCTGTTTTGACAGTTTTACCCCTACATAAAAAGATAATTATAATTACTAAGATTCTGTTTAGTATGGTTGTGATTTTATGTTTTTGGTTTTGATTTTCAAAAATTTTAAAACCCTAGAATAAAATTAGAAAATTCTATATATTAATTAACAGTGAACCTTTTGGGATTAGTTTTAAAATTTTATATCTAATAAGTTGTCAATTTTAATTTTGGTTATCTACTATTAATTTTGATTGTTGGAATGTTGAAAATCAAAACCACAACCATAATCATACTAAATGGAGCTTGAATCTACCAACCAAAATGTTCTCCAAACTAAAATAGATTCAATTCTCTCACAAAGTTATGCCAACCAAATGCCCTCTAAACTATACAAAATTACAATTTTCTGACAAAGAGATGTCATTTTACGAGATTTTAGAGTATTCTTAAAATTTAGATTTTAGAGTATTACAAAGCCACTTTTACAGCCTCTTTTACATTCTTTTTAAGGGTAAAAGAGCAAAGAAAAATGACATATTTAAGTGAGAGAAAGAAAGAAAAGGATAGGAGAGTAGAGAGACAAAGAGATAAAACTTTTCTTAAGTGAGAGAAAAGAAGAAAAGGTAAGAGTAGAGAGAGAAAGGAACAACCAAGGACTCAAAATTCTATTATTATTATTAGATTAGCATTTCTCAACCCACTTTACAAGTGGTTGGGATGAATTTTTGATTTTAAAGAAAAAAATATAGCTAAAAATTTATTGTTATAAATAAATAATAAAAGAGTTTGTTGTTTTGTGGTCTAAACTATATAGAATTGCAAAACATGGACTCTTAGATCAGGGAGGGCCCTCATTTAAAGGTTTATGTTTGCAGTCCAATATACTTAGGATTAAAAAACACTTCTTTGATGATAAAATACGAAAACAATATTTTGCCTCTAATAAGTTGCATTAAAAAATGATAATATCATCAAGCAATTTGTCAATTGTCTTTTTTATTCTAAATAAATTACCAGCTTTCTTCAAACTTGTAATAAAATTAGAAGCAAAAAAGAGAGAAAATGAAACCTCACAATCTTGTACAACATTAAAAGGAGGCCACATAGAATTCTAAATCCTACAGTTAAAACCATGTTTTTACTGGCAACCAAGTGAAAATTGGTGGTATTACGAGACTGCCAAAACCAACACAAATGTAAATACATGATGCAGGACCATAAAGTGTTTTTTTAATTATTTCTTTTAGTTTGAGTTTTATTTGGAGTCTAAGTTTTAATTTTAGGAAAGTCGTGTGGATAGCATGTGATTTCTGATTAGGACTAGAATTAGTAGGTTATTAGAAGTTCAAATTAGAATTGAATTAGGATTCTTAGCTGTTGTTAGTATATATAGTTATCTTTAGATCTCTAAATCAGTTTTTGTTATGAAATTTTAGTTTGAGAATAAACTTGAGGTTGAAAACCTAAGTTTTCTTGGATCCATCTTTAATTTTACGGAGTTCTTAGTTTCTGTTTGTTCTACCCCTACCTTCCCTGCATCAGCTATGCAAGCTTTACAGCGACAGGAACCCATGGGAGCCCGTATTGAGATGCCAGAAGGTGACCATAACCCTGCAGACAAACCGGAAAGTAGTCTGGAGGATGAGTCTGTGGATGGAAGGGATGATAACCCTTTTCATGAAGCTGGAACCGCAAATCAAGCGGTAAGAGGTGGATTGGAAGAACGGTTGATACATGCCCTTGATTTGATTGAAGAGGAAGGTGGTGACACGATAGAACCAGTTTATGATGTTTATTGTGATGAAACTGAAGAAGTGGACATTCTATCAATTCAGGAAGAATCTTTAATGATTCAAGGAATTATGGCAATAACTAAAAAGAGGGACAAGATTAGAGGAGTCATTCTTTAAGGGAAGATGATCAAGAAAAAAAATCTCTAGCTGACAGGAAGATAATTGGTTACGCATCTGCTGAGAAATTTGAAGCTAAAAGTCAAGAGGCAGGAGTTATATATGCTGTTCTATATAAGCTGTTGGGAGAAGAACAAAAAGGAGAAAATTCTATGAAACTTGCAACCTAATGAAAATCTGCAGCTATTAGAAGAGATTAAAGGGTCAAAAAATAAGGAATTACCAGAAGGGATGCTGCCAATGTTGAACATTCAACATGAATTTGATTTTATTCCAGCAGCAGCTTTAACTAATCTGCCTACCTACAAGTTTGAATTACACAAAAAAATGGCAGATTTCTTTCCTTGTTATAAAATTTCAGATACCACACAAGTTGTTGATTTATTTTTGGAAGAAGTGGTGAGACTACAACATATTCCAACATCCATTGTTCGTTATAGGGGTGTAAAGTTTAAGGGATATTTTTGGAGGACTTCATGGAAGAAAACTGCTGCAGATAAATATACAACTGGATTGCAGAGGGAAAATTCAGAAAAATTGGTCCAGACAAACATGTTGAAGCTGACAAGTCTTTCAATTTGAACCAACCTAAATTTCCAACCCGGGGAGAATGATGCAGGAACATAATGTGTTTCTTTAATTATTTGTTTTAGTTTGAGTTTTATTTGAAGTCTAAGTTTTAATTTTAGGAAAGTCATGTGGATAGCATGTGATTTCTGATTAGGACTAGAATTAGTAGGTTATTAGAAGTTCAAATTAGTATTGAATTGGGATTCTTAGATATTGTTAGTATATATAGTTAATCTTCTTAGGTTTCAAGAACAGGTTTTGTTATGATATTTTAGTTTGAGAATAAACTTGAGGTTGCAAACCAAGTTTTATTTGTTCCATCTTTAATTTTAAGAAGTTCTTAGTTTCTGTTTATTCTACCCCTACCTGTCCTGCATCAATACATCTACATAAAATTCAATCTCAAAAATAATGTATATTATTACAACTGACTCTAGACAATCACTTCCCTAAATTTGAAGGCAAAAATAAAACAAGCAAAAAAAAAAAGAAAAATTGGCATAAGATCAAAGCTCAGCATGATGAAATGTTTGGGAGCCATCAATGATGAAGTTAATGGCCAGAGATAGAGCTGAGAATAAAAAGATAATTACAAAATTTACCAACTAAATGCCCTCCAAACTAAATTACAACCCAACTCTCTAACAAAGAATTGCCATCCTCTCACAAAGTCATACCAATCAAAATGCCTTTAAACTAAAAGAAATTACAATCATCTCACAAACAAATGCCTATGATATTTTAGAGAACGAAAGGACAGTGTGGACCATACACTACCCTCATTATTTTTAAGATATCCCAAAACAATATATTTCATTTCAATCTAAGGTCTAAACGACAAAAATTCTCAAAAATTGAAGAACACAAGACACGCAACTAGCATCTAGAAAAGCAAGAGCAACCATGATCGGAGAAAAAAATTATCAACAAATATAATACCTTCAATTAGATCTACCCAAATCATAACACAAGCTGAAGCAACCAAACAACCAAAAGCACCCGATATATGCATACCGTTATATCAATATTTTCTCCGCCAAAAGAACAAAATCAAGAGGGAAAGGAAGCCCAAATCTCCAAAAACAAGAACTAACCTGATTTCAACAAAAGCGATTGGGAAGAGGTCAGTAAATAGGAGGCTGATTTCAGTCCGCTGTTCATTGCCATGGCTGCACAACAGCGTCGTCGACAAGGGTTTTGCGGTAGAAACTGTGAGTGTCATATCGGTGGAAGCAACCGTCGAGGTAGACTCGATCGGAGGCGGCAGGAAGGCAAGTTTGGAGCTTTGTTGATGCATCATTGAAATATAGGTCGCAATCCTTGCCGAAGAGATGTCCATAACAGTGCCCATATCCGAAGACTTTGAACGGTGGTTTGAGAGTTGAGAAGCCTCCCAAGGATTGAGATCGGACTAATTCCGATAGAACCCACATGACTCTCCGAATGTTGTCGACGATTTCGCCGGAGGAACGATTAGAAGCGGTTCCGCAGAGAATATGATCGTCGGAGAAGGAAGAGATGAATGCAGAGAACATGAGAGAAATTAAGATCAAAGTTACCAAATTCTAAAAACTAAGGATTGAGAATCGCATCGATATCAGGAATGGGGTTATGGTGATGGGGACTTTGGAATGATGCCAGTAAGGTAAACGTAATAGAGTGGCGGCCGATGGGGGCTTTGAAGGAGTGGGTGGTCTGGATGCTCTGGTCAACCCGCGCGTCCGAGTTTGAGGGATCCGGGAAATAAAAAAAGTAAAGGAGAAGGAAAGAGAAGAACAAGAAACTAAAAAATATATATATATATATATATAAATTAATGATTAAAAAGTATTAATTACATATTAGAAAAAATCCTTTTTCAGTTTTTTTCTGCCATATCATCCTTTTCTATCATGCTGTTACTCCTGCAGGGAAAAAAATTTTTTACGCATTATTCTTGTTTTTTTCAAGTATCTTATCAAATCAATGACTTTTTAATGGAGGATTAAAAAGAATCTGCATTTTTAAATTTCAAGGATTAAAATAAAAAAAAATTAAAATTTAAGAACCAACTTGATCATTTATTCAATGATTGAGGGAGAAATTGTGGAGTTCAACTTTTTCCTTTCATCCTCTTCACGGTTCAACACTTCAAACCCGGACTGCGCGATCAAGCACTAGAACTTTGAAAGGCTTCACATCTCTCGTTGCTAAGCACTCATGTAATATATCAACAGAAAGCTTAGAAGCCGATCTATCTAACCATAATAATTTTATAGTATATAAAAGAACATATAAATTTGTACCATTAATGAGTATTTAAAAACTAAAAGCTTAAATTCACAAAAATTACTTTAAATCATATTTAATATCTTTTATATCAGATTTTAAAAAATCTTTTAAAGTTTTCCCTACTATATCATTCTTTCTACTATGCTGTAACCCTACAGGGAAAAAATTTTGTATGCATCATTCTTCTTTTTTCAAGTAACTTACCACATCAATAAATTTTTAATGGAGGACTAAAAAAAAGGCTAAATTTTTAAAATTTAGGGATTAAGATAAAAAAAATTTAAATTTAATAATTAACTTGATAATTTATAAAATAATTGAGGGACAAATTGTAGAGTTTAACTTTTTCCTTTCATCTTCTTCACAATTCATCCCTGGGTTGCACGATCAATCACTAGAACTTGGAAAGGCTTCACATCTCCCGTTGCTAAGCGGTGATGTAATATATATCAAAAGAAAGCTTAGAAGCTGATCTATCTATCCATAATAATTTTATAGTATATAAAAGAGCATATAAGTTTTTACCATTTACGAATATTTAAGAACTAAAAGCTTAAATTTACAAAAAAAAATACTCTAAATCATATTTAACATCTTTTATATCAGATTTTTTAATTAAAATCCACAATAAAACTCAAGTACCATTTAATTAACATTAAAATTCAGGCGTCTCACACCAAATAACGTATTATGTATACCTTGGCCGCTAGAATCCTGCCACGTATCCACGGATCAGGAGAGTTCACAAAATTAGTGAGCGAAGCACTGCAACCGCACTCTGTTCGTTGATCAAGTTCAGCCATCCTAATTTTCAGAAATATTACCATGTTCCCCAACTAAAACTTAGTTCTTTAATCAACCTTCAGAAACACTGTTAACTCAACAAAAAAGTAAAAGCAATGATGGAACGTGAGCAGAAGCTGCATGGTTGAATAAAATAACGTAAAGACTGATGACGTCCTCAAAATTTTTTGGGACAAAAGTATACATTTTTCTCGTTGAATGGTGTTTGCTTTTAACCAATTGGTTAAATACTCGATTTGATCCCTAAACTTTCATTTCTAAACTTAGTTCGTCCCTTATGAAGTTAAAGGACCCAAATCGTCCTTAAAGTTTATTTTTCCATAACTAAATTGGTCCTTCCGTAACGGAAGTGCCCACTTGGCATGTTAAGTCTCTACAATTTAATGCTTTTAATTTTCAAATGCTTACGTGGAAAAAACACAATAATTAATTGATGACATGGTAAAAATTATTAAAATAATATTGATAAAAAATAGAACACAAAAAAAAAAATTCTTAATTGATTCATTCTTAATAAATTTAAAAGATTTAAATTAATTGATTGTTGTATTTAATACAGATAATTAAGGGATCAATTAACTCATAATTAATTCGATTATGATATCTCATAAAATATATTAAATAACTTGATTCATTCAATAATTTGGGAAAAAATTAAATTCTTTTAATTAGGTTTCATCCTCCTCTTCTTCGATGAAAAACTCAGATCAAAATTTGGGATTCTTAATAAGTCTAGCTAGCAAAAATCTCATCACCAGAAAACAATAAGAACAACCCACAAAATCAAAATCAAGAATCCCTAACGTTTCCTCATGCAAATGGGAAAAGCTTGACTTGTCTGCTGCGATTTCTAAAGAAGAAAAGCAAGGATTAGGTTGATCATCATTCACTATGTTTGAAAACCCATGTCTCCGAGTCTTTATCGGGGCGACAACGATGGCGAGACAACCAAAGATCGACAGTAAACGAGCTCCTTGTTTTGGAGACCTTGTCAGATAGGTCGGAGGTGTATTTCACGAGGGCCACCGCCAGATCATCCTCCGAATCAAAGACGCTCACCATCTTCCCTTCACTTTTCTCTATCACCATCCTTGTGTCTGCGATCGTCGCCTTCGTTCTGCACCCAAACCCCTTGATTTTGTGTCGACAATAGAAGCCCCTTCGAAAACCGCCGTGCTTGCAAGGGTTTTCAACGCTGTCGACCTTGAGACCAACGAAGCGTAGTACGAAATGAGATGGAATCTAGAAGAAGAAAGCAGGGTGCGGAGCGAGGTGGGTAAATGGAGAGAGGAAAATGGATTTGGAGTATTGAAAATGGAAATGGATTCTTGCTTTTGACTTTGTGGGTTGTAACTAAGCATTTAAAAATTAAAAAAACTAAATTGTGGAGACTTAACGTGCCAGGTGGGCACTTCCGTCACGGAAGGGCCAATATAGTTACAGGAAAATAAACTTTAAGGATGGTTTAGGTCCCTTTTGAAGTTAAAGGACGAACTAAGTTCAGAAATGAAAGTTTAGGGACCAAATTGGGTATTTAACCTAACCAATTCCAAGATCTAAACTTGATGAACTTAATCACCCACTCCACCAGTTTGTCCACTTCCTTGTCAAAGACTTTATGATTTCTCCAATTCCAAACTTGTTCGTGACAGAGGATAATAATGGGAAAAAATTATTTTTTTTAAGTATTTTAATAATCAGTTCATAATAAGTAATTAATTAACAAGAGACATTAAGAGTTTCATAACAAAAAAAGAGAGGAATATTGTTGAGGCTCTGAGAGC